CAATTTCTTCCGATCTACATCTTACTCGAAACGTGCATTCTCATCCACCCCTTCCTCCCTTTTCTTTCCTGCTTCAAGGGTTCCACAAGTTTGATTAATTGTTCCGACGCTTCTACCCCCGCTTCGCGACCCTTAATTGCGCGCCCCCCGAAAAAGTTTCATTTCGATCGTTTCCGGCAATTGGCACCCCTCATTGCATTTCCCCCGCTTCTCGAAAACATCCTCTGCTTCTGCTCCAGCTTCTGCACAAATTTTTCCTGTAAATTTCCTCCCAAATTTCCAAACACAATGCCTGTTTTTAGCACCACCCACCCCATAACGAGGTGCTATTGATATTTTGCTCCAGGGGGCAGGGCAATGCCATTTTTAGCCCCCAAATGTGTTTTCTGGCAGAAATCCGAAAAATCGGATTCCTGTTTTCTTTGTTTTCGAAGGTGGTTATCAGAATTCTGACGTGCCGACAGAATTCGACAGAACAATTTGAGCCCTTTCCTTTTTCCATTCCTTCCATCCAGCGTCTAACCAAGATATCTGAATCGCGTGTCTCGTGTGGGGTGTGTGGAAAGGAAAGAAAACAGAGACTAGGCTACTGGGATGACACATTTTGGGGGAATCCCCCCCTGGTGGTTTTTGACCAGAGTTTCTTGGCTAAAACCTCCATTTATCTTTTGACGTATGTGGGCTTTTTTTTAGGTTGTCTTAGTAATTATATTTTCTAAAGGAATTGGTGATATTGGGTTGGGAGATAATTTTGTACTTCAAATCTCGGTAACCGATCACCCACAGAAATTAATTGAAATGATTTTCATCGTCTAATCAATTTTTCTTCCGAGTATTTTATGCAAATTGGATTCGGATTACTAAAAACCCAAAACCATTACTTCTTAAAGTCGTTACTTGGCAATATTTATTGGAAAATCGAGGCCAGGACTTTTGGAAGTAATAAGGGGTGATGTGAGAGCGATCAGAACCACAAAACCTCAATCAGATCTTTTCACGCAAAAAGCAAAACATTTGCCCCATGCCAGGCTCGAACTGGCGACCTTGGCATATCTTACAGACTATAAGTACCACGCGCTAACCGACTGCGCCAATGGGGCCACACAGGCCGGGGGTGGTTGGGGGTGATACCCCCTGCGGGCGAGTCCCCGCCCCTTTAGCCTATTCCCTTCACCTTTAATAAAGACCCCGCTCTAGCGGTCTACAGTGATGTCCGATTTTGGCGATTTAGGTATCTATCGAAAGCTCTCGACGAGCTGAGACGATTCATGTACTCAGATTCTCGAAATTCCAGAATTGACCCTGCATTTACTTCCAATGTGTAAGATTTTATCGAAAATTAGTTTGAAAGGCGTTAGATTCCCATTTTTTACCCGCGGCTCCCTCAACAACATGACCGGAACTTCACAGCTGGACGGCGTGAATACGCGCCGACCTCTTCCCCCTACCCCCGATTCCAACAACATTTCCGTCCGCTGTCATAGCCTGAATTTGGCCATCGATTGGCTCGTCTGTTGCGTTTTGGATTCAACAAATCTTTTTCGAAATTTTCAGTTCTTCTTTATAACGCCATATTCCATTATCGATCACATCCGCTTCTCCCTGCCTGCCTCCCTAAAGCTGTGGCAGCCTTTTTGAGGGAATATTGTTGGTGTTGAAGAAGTGCGGAGGGCCGTTCTCCCCCCACCCAGCAGTCTCAGCTTAATCCAATATTCGCCAAGTGCCCCCCATCGGCCCCGCCAGAAGCATTGCCCACCCACCTTGAGGCCCACCCCGCCAGCTTCTCCCTCCAAACATACGCAAAAAAAGCTGATGGGGCCAGTGTGACGACACACAGTGGTTCGACCGTTTTCTTTGACATCTGGGGAGGCTGAGACTCCTGGATGTTTCGGCTTTGGATTATAGAAAAATTCTCTCTCACTCTCTAGTTCTGTATATCCCTCATGCTCACTTTCTCTCTATCTCTCACTCTCACTCTACCTCTTTCTCAAGCTCTGTAGATCTATCTCTCATGCTCATTTTCTCTCTATCTAGCTATGGCGAAATTTCTCGTGCTCTCTCTCTCTCTCTGTCCTTTAACCTGTCCCTCTCTCACTTCTACTCACTCTTTCTAGCTCTGCATCTTCTCTCTAGCACTCTCATGCTCCGTCGCTCTCTCTCCATGCCACTATCTCTTTCTCGTTCCCTCTAGCTCTGTATATCTCTCGCACTCTCTCTTTCTCTCTCCCTCTCTCCCACTCTCTCTCTCACTCCTTCTCTCAGTTTCTCTCTCATTACTTCTCTATCTCTCACTTTCTGTATCTTGCTCTCTCCTCTCTCCCTCTCTCCCTCTCCTCTCTCTCCCTGTCTCTCTGGGTCGAATCTCGCTTCAAATCTCCACACTCTATGGCCCTCTAGACAAATCGATTGGCGTAACTTTCACCCGCTGTCGATAACCACGCCGAGCTATAGCACTTTAAGTTTTTCTCTCCGCCCTATCACACTCTGCTATCTTGCTACAGCTTCTCTTTCCCCGCCTCCCCATCACCATGGTCTCTAGTGGTGAAGGCTCCTCCGGGAATCTAACGGGGTTCGAACCCGCTCACGTTTCTCTCTCTTGCTTTCTCGTCCGAAGGTTCCTCTCTTGCTCTCTGAGGACCTTCCCTCTCTCCTTACGCATTATCTTCTCCTCTGGTGCGAAATTCCCTTAAAAAAAATCTCTTCAAAAAATTTAGATGTTTTACCCGAAAGGACTATGCCGGTCCCAAAATAAATTGAAAATTCAAAGCATATCAAAATCGTGGAGTAAACATAATTTGGTAAATGGTGTGTTATCCGAACAACTTTCATCCGCAAAATTTTTTGGAAATGGAAACGGACAAGGGCTCGATGCCCAGCAGAATTTTTGCGTGGTTCGATGTTGTCGGCGCATCAAGGAGTTAAATAATGCGTAAAGCTATTCAAGGTCCTCAGAAGCAAGAGGAACCTTCGGACGAGCAAATAAATCGTGACCGGGTTCGAACCCTCGTCAGATTCCCCGGAGGACGCCTTCTACACCACTGGCCACCAGACCATGGTGATGGGGAGGCGGGGGGCTTATGGCTTGGCCGAAACATGCAATGTATGCAAAACTTTGCTTATAACTCGGCGTGGTTTCGTATCAGCAGCTGAAAGTTCACCTCGATTTGCTCGTCGGCCTTGTGTGCAATCTTCAAAAGCGAACTCGATTCCCAGCTATGACCCTACCCTCACTTAGTCAACGTCCAATACCCAACTTCTCTTAATTGCGTCGTGATTTCCGGACCCGTAGGTCTCCCTCCCCTTAAATGCCTTGTTTTTGCGTGCCGATGAAAGAGGCAAGGTGAGTGCACGCGCATCGATTCCCCGCATCTAAATACACACACAAAAAAAAAAAAAAAAAAAAAAAAAAAAAAAAAAAAAAAAAAAAAAAAAAAAAAAAAAAACACACACAAAAACAAACAAAAAAACAAACACACAAACAAACATACACACACAAATCCTAGGGGCCTAAGAAACTCTGGCGGGAAAAGGTCTTCTAGGCTCTCCTTTGGACAAGGGCCCTCGTGTCTATTGGGAGGGCCCAGTGGTGGGCCCAGGAGGGCCCTAAAAGGGCAATGGCCATGTCGACGGCTTTTCGAACCCAACTGGTGGAGGAGACGACCTCGCTGGATTTCGAACGTTTGGCTTAGGTTTTTTAAAGGGGTTAGGATGGGTCCCTGGGGGATTTTTGGGGTTGATGGGGATGCTTAGTTGTTCTTTGGATAAGTATTGTTTAAACTTGTTTTGCGTTTTTTGTTTTATTTTCCATCTCGCGCATTTTTGTTTGCGCATGCTAATTCACTAGCGGTAAATTTTGGCGTGTTTTTGTACTAGAGAACCTTTGAAAACTTATTTAACTTGGAACTAATATTTTAGTGATGTTTTCTGCATCCTATGTCCATATTTAAGACTTTTATTTGCTATCGATGTTGTATTTTATTATTTAATACCTTATCTTTGGCATTTGACCCATATTTTAAATACATTTGGAATTACAGAATCTAGAACTTATTTAACCGATTTAATATAGTAATTTATTAGTGGTAGTGGTAACAATTTTTCTTTTGGTTTTGTATTTATTAACTTAAATTTTCATCCTAAAAATTAACAAACGTAATAAGCATGTAAAAAATCAATGAAATTCTGTAAATATGAAAATTAAGTCCCCTAGTCCAAATATTTTCTACGCCTCCTGTACAACATCTCATCTGTAATCAACCTCCTAAAAGTTTTTAGGGCCCTTCACCTCCCCTTACGGGGGCCCAAATTGGCCAAATCGTTTCTCGGATTTCTGCCGTCCCCCCTTGCTCGACAATCATTAGCACTCGGTCCCCAATCCTCGCAAATCTATCCGTTCCTCCCCCTCCATCTCCAGATATTGGCTCTCATCCTCCACGAGTACGGCGGTACTCCTTCAAAAACACACCAGCTTCATATTCCCCCATCCAGGCTCATCCTCCAATTCCTTTTGGGGCGGCTCCTCCTTATCCCGGCGACTCCATTTTCACCCCCACCAGACAACTCCTCCTCGTGCTCATCGTTGAGGAACATCTGAAAGCTCACTTGCGAGTACACAACATTACTAAAGACGGCTTTTCGGGAGGAAAATCCCCTGGGCTTAATCCTCACGCTTCCTCTATCTATCTCTCTCTCTCTCTCTCTCTCTCTCTCTCTCTCTCTCTCTCTCCTTTGTCTGTGGTTGTTCGTGAAGCAACAAACTTTCAGGATAATTGTATTGCACTTTCTCTATTTTTTAAGGTTTAAGAAAAATTTTCTATTTTTAAGTGTGTTTTTAACTTTCAGGTTTTTTCGAACCTTTTTGATCATTTGATAGCTTTACTTTGTAGAGAGATGCACGGCTGCTGAGCGGCGTCCTAGCACAGCTGAAGAGTTGCGAGAAAGCTGCTGGAGCTCTACGCATCTGCTGGACGTGCTGACGTCGTTGGTCCGCACCTACAGCCATGGATCAGTCCTGTCAGACCGTCATCTTTCAACTGCCAAATGAGAGTATTGTTTATGAAGTTCTCAAAGATGTGGGTTTTCAAGGTTTAAAGTTTTTAGACCAAATAAAATAAAATTAACTATTGAAATTCTCCTATTTTAGGTCCGACATTTCTATATGCCGATCCACACCTATCTCTCAATCTTCATGTGCATCCTCGGAACGATCACCAATTTCTGCAATATTGTGGTTTTGACGAGGTAAGGCTCGATCTTTTATTCTTCTTGGGTTGTTTTATTAATACTATTATTACTGTAATTACCCAAAAGTACTTTTATTTGAATTTTAGACGACAAATGCGAACACCGGTAAATATGATCTTGACGGCGATGGCGTGCTGTGATACCGTGGTTCTATTCTCAAATTTGATTTTCACCACCCACTACTCATTCGTCGCTTTTAAGGTGGGCGGAGGTGAAAGAAATCGGAGTGCCTTAAATCTTTATTGATTTAACCTTAATTTACCTTTTTTCAGGATTGTCATCCCAGACACTGGAGCTACGGGTGGTCGCTATTTTTGATAGCTCATGCTCATTTGTCTTTGGTCGGCCATTCGTCTTCTGTATGGCTGTCCGGTGAGTGTCAATCATTTTTAACTTACATTATATAATGTTCTTCATGATTTTACATTGAATTTTATCTATATTATTCAAACTATCTTACTCTTAGTTATACAAAAAAAAATGATTTTCAATTTTTTTGCAAAATATCTAGAGTTTTCCCGGGAAATTTGCCTATATAATTTTCGGCATTCTGAAATTTCCACCCTGACCTTGTCGGTGATGTCGGCATCGTTATTATGACAGTTTCAAAGTAACCAAAGCACGCCAAGACAACAAAACCACGTTGCTTTGTTTAACAAAATATTTTCGCCTAAACTGATAGCTTACCCAAAAATGGCCCGAAACCGCTATCACAACATTTCCTGTTATCATCAACAACCGGATATTAGCTCGATTCGGGCGGCCAAACACGAATTTCGTGGGCGACTGAAAATCGGCGTCTGTGTTTGGCATCTAGGATGATTTTGGGTGAGGGGGCTGCAAGTGACTTGTGGAAAACAAAAAAATAAGTTGGAAACGAAAGGCTATGTGATAAACCGAATTTCAGTGATGCTAGCAGCCATTCGGTATCAAACGCTGCGAAGTCGAGGGACTGCCGGCGGGCGACCGGTACGATAACCCGGAAGTGAAAAGTCACTGTGATTTAGGTCGGGTTGAAGCATTCGTACGTGGCCATAGCAGGGGTCATTTGTTTTGTGACAATGTTGAATACACCAAACTACTTTACGTACAAGATTACGGAGGATCCATTGTATAATGTAAGTTTGAGTAAATAAGAAATTTATTCACAAGTTTTTTAGTGCTGTAACTTGCCGGATAATTCGCCGCTGCGAAGTACTTACTGTTATTTGCCAAAAGTTGCAGATATTGCTCGAGCTAATGAATGTTTGGTAAGTTTGCAATATAGAGGGCCGAAAAATTTACGAATAATTTTTATAACCCGAAAAAGCATCTTTAAGACTATTATTATTATAGATAAACTTTGAACGGGCGTTATTTTTTAAAATAAATGAATCTCAGGTGTTCCGACTAGCATTCTGGATGAGCGGTGTCATGTTCAAGCTCATTCCTTGCCTCTTGCTCTCGCTGCTGGTGTGGCTTTTGCTCCGGATTCTGAGAGAGGTTTGCAAATTGGATTAAAAATTATGTAAATTCTTTTCTAGGTAAAAGAAAACCGACATCGTCTGCTTCGCGGATCACGGCACAATGTTGCTCCCCAGACCAAAGCAAACGGTGACACCAAATTACAACGAAATGGCAGTCATCGGTAAGCAATTTTTGAAGACTTACAACATTATAATGGTAATTAGAATTTTAATTGCGTAATTTTTTAACTGCCTCAATTTAGCGGCGGACGTGGCGAGCGTACAGACCGTACCACCCAAATGCTGCTCGCTATCGTGTTCGTGCTCCTCGTCACGGAGCTTCCCCAGGGTGTTATGGCCATCCTGTCCGGAATCTTTTCCGAGGAATTCCGAGAAAACATCTACAACAACGTTGGCGACTTCTTGGATCTGTTGTCGCTGTGCGGCGCCTGCACCAGCTTTATCATATACTGCACGATGAGCGGGCAGTTCCGGAATGTGAGTTGGATGTTTAAAGAAGCAGCTCCGCATTCAGAAGTGCTAATATGATTATTTAATCCTTTTTTCAGGAATTCCGACGCGTTTTCCTGCCGACAACGTTGGCTTGCTCAAAACGAGCAAACAGTATGCGTAGAATGTCTTCGGAAGCATACACAAAAATGACGCTGTTTCCACCGAGTCGAGCTGATGGCGTCAGCGGGTTGGTCTTGCTCAATTTTAGTTTGCATGTAGAACTGTAATGCATGAATGGGCCTCAAAAGAGAGAGAGAGAGAGAGAGAGAGAGAGAGAGAGAGAGAAAGAAAAGCATCGTAGTAGAGTGGTAGAAAAACAGCATGCTAGCCACATAAACGCTGGTTTTATATGCTGTTTGATCACTTTCATCCAGCACAAAAAGCCTTCTGCCTCTGAATATGTAAAAAGCAAAAATCTACCTAATATGCCAGCATGCGCCCGCTTTTTCCCCATACCTCTGCACATCAAAATCCGAAAACCTGGTACTGTTCTGTTAGCAGGGGGGCTTTTAACGGGTGTACCTTTTTAGTCATTTTGCATACGAACAAAAAGCTGTTGCTTGATTTCCCCCTGCTAAAATCCCCCCCCCCGCTAACAGTCCAGCACCCAAAAACCTTCCCCAAACTCCCTTGATAAACCTTTTAAAATCGATTGAAATTTGTGGATCTAGATCGTTCGCGACGCCGTCACCCGATGAGCGTTCGCTGGCCATTACCGTAGTCGGCTCGAGTCAGCAGGTGCTTTCTTAAAACAATTTTTAAGGGATGGGAAACAGACCATTTTATTAGCAAAAAATACTGGTTAGTTTCTACAGATTTGTGAAGGGCCGCAAAGACTCTCCGTTGAGCCCTTCGAGGTAACGATGGGTGAAAAGTGTACCCAAGGTACTTACCCAATTTCGAAAACATCCAAAACCCTCTGTCAACCAAATAAAATTTCTATACTCTTTTTCTTATACCCTTAAAAACCTTGATACCTCGAATGTACAAATCTAACATTTCTTCTCCGTGTGCTCACCCCCGTGCCCGCTCCCCACCTTTTTCTCGTGATCGTGTCCGTTTTTGAGTGTGCCTTTCTTGTGACCAAACGATTTTTGAGGCTTCTACTATTGGTGGTTAATTTAAAAATATACAAAAACCTAAAAAATTTTAAAAGAATAATCCTAACATTTGACATTTTGACCAGAATTTACTTCCCCCGCCGGAAGTAGTAAAAATGCAAAATAATAAATATTAATATTTATAACATTAAATTAGTGTTTCGCAGGCAGTCCGAATTTTGCATGTTTTTGCTGTAACCTTTAAAAATTACAATATTTCGGGCTAATAAGAAAACTCTTAGTATATTTTTTGGCCTTCTTTCGAATGGCGTTAAATGCATTTTTGTAAATATTGAAAACTAGCTTTCCACCAGAAGTGGTATGCGAAAATCCCGTTCAAATCGTGTTTTTTGCTATAAACTTTTTATTTTACATTATTTTGAGCTTAAACCAAGGTTTTCTTTATATTGCTACTCTGGCAAATGGAAACTTCAGATCCGCAAAAACCTAGCAAAAACGTCAAATTGTTATAACTAATTTACATTCCAATTTTTTTTAGTTGCCATCAAATATTTTAGTATTGTTTTGATGTTCTATCGTATGGTGTCAAAAACCCCCAAAAAACCAGCAAAAATATTGAAACATTGGGACCATCAGACTGTGGGGGGGGTAGAGTAAAGTCTTGCCCGTTTTTGGATCGCTTCTTGATATTTCACCTTGATAAATCCCAGATTACAGTCCCAAAAAGCAACTGTCCCGTGACCAACATTCTAATATTTTTAAAAACACAGGAAAAATTATAATCCTATTTTTTTAGATCCGACGCAACCTGTCACCCAGCCCGATGCCGGTAACACCCGGATCTTCGAGTGAATGTGATCGGGAACAAGCCGAAGACGTTCAGCAACAACCACCTGTTGATGATCAACAACACGATCGCGATACGATAGAATCTATCGACAGCGAGCCGGTTGACAAAGAACAGCCGGAAGAACCGCATGAAGCCACTCTTCTACTCAATGGCCATCCAGTATCTTATTTATAATTTGTTGAACAAAACGTATGGATGATTATGTCCAGGAATTATTGAAATGTTTTTGAGAAATTGATGTAACAGTTTCCTAAAATAGAAGGCAGCATTAATTTTATTCTTTTTTATGGATATGCTGGGTAAAAAGGACTTGGTCATATTAGCGCTGTCATATAATATATTGTCATTTTTTTGGGCTAGTGAAAGCTACTACAGGGTGTCCAGGAAAAGATCGATTCGGCATTTGGAAGCCTTTCATCCGATCGGTCCCAAAATTGGACCAGAGGTGTATTAAACCCTAAATAACAACAATCCTGATTTATAGGCGCGTAGCTACAGTGGTTTTCGAGTTATAAAAAAAATACTGTTTTTCCTGAGTTCAACAGTTTTTCGGCTAATTTTTCGGACGTTGCATCGATCTGCATCGACTTTCGGCGGCGAATCCCTAATTCCGCTTCAGAACGTGGCTGATTTTGCGCTGTAAAATCGTTAATTTGACGTTTATTTTGACTAATTTTGGTCCGAAAAAATTTATTATGGCGAAGAAAAGCCGAATCATTTTTACTTAATATTTAAGTGGTACTACATTTAGAGAAATTGGTGCAAATAAAAACCAAGTTTATTTTTGCCGTAAATCAAAATCTACAGTAGATAAATCAGAGTAATTGTTATTTAGATTCTGATACACGTCTGGTCCAATTTTGGGACCGATTGGATGTAAGGCGGCAAAATGCCGGATAGATCTCTTTTTGGCACCCTGTATATTTTTCGCTTTCGCTTTTCGCTCAACTTTCCTTCACCGGCCCTTTAATCTAACTTCCCAATCCCAATTCCGCTATCCCCAGTGCCTTAGTATAACTACAAAAATGGATTAAGGCATAGATTGCCACCGAATTTTCGCGAAATCGCCAAAATCATCTCTCCGTTCCCCCCAGTCATCGTTTATCACCTACGGGTACACATCCACACAATTTCAGTCACTATTTGCGTGTTTCTTTTTTACCCTTTCCCCTGTGTGTATTTTTGCCGGAATATTGGTGCTTTTTGTTCGGTTGAGTATAAAGTACTTCATTTCAATAGCCTCCCAACAAGCCAAAATAAACACAAAATAGAATTTTGTGAGGGCATTTATTAGCACGGAAAGGGTAGAGGGTATCATGAGCATTAATCAAAAAATCAAAAATTAAGAGAGGTTTTCTAGAAAAATAATACTATTTTCGACCACTGGATCCGGGATGGCAGCATTAATTGGGTTGTTTGAAAAATTTCGACAAAATAATGCCGAAAACCTTAATGTCGAAATTTTGATATTGTCAAAATTTTAAAATTTCGAAATTTTTATATACAAATTTTACGGAAAAACCCAAAACCTACGTAAAAAGTCGGCAGATTAAATTTCGACGTTTTGAAATATCGATACTATGAATTTCGGCATTCTGAAACGTCCAAGTTATAAATTTTCGGCATTCTGAAATTTTGGCATTATTATTTTCCACATTTTTATAGCAATCTCCATTAATTCGGCGGAGAAAAACAGAAAATAGAATTACAAATCAAGGATAGCTCATTGGGACCCGATTATGGCGCGGATGGTGTTGTGACGGAAAAGAAAGATAGACTAAACGTTGAACTCCAGGTCACTAAATCTCAATTACAACAATACAAATTCTAATGGCAAGATTATAATGAAAATAGTTATTTAATGGAGGTATCCCCTCGCCAATATGCCGAAGTGTAATAGGGTTGCTGGGTGCCTACACCGTAGCCGTTTGAGAGTGGCTCATGGGGGATCGGAGCGGGGATTGTTGGCACGTTTGCTGGGGAGCTGCCTTCGCGCTTGACGAGCGATATTGAGCCCTGAAATTGTGTTATTAATATTAATTAATATACAAAATATATCAAGTTGGAATTTTACAGAACGCCCCATAAAAAACCCTTTCGGCATTTGGTCGTCTTCTATCTGATCGGATTCAAATTTTAACCAGCGTTGGTGACCCATCAAAACTACAAGTAAATTACAGAAAGTAATGATTTAAGAGCGATCAAAACAACAAAAACATCAACCTATATCATTTCGCGCAAAAAGCAAAACATTTGCCCCATGCCAGGCTCGAACTGGCGACCTTGGCATATCTTACAGACTATAAGTACCACGCGCTAACCGACTGCGCCAATGGGGCTACACAGGCGGGGGCGTGGTTGGGGGATGATACCACCTGCGGGCCCGTCCTCGCCCATTTAGCCTGTTTCCTTCACCTTTAATACTGGTTGTCCCAAAAAACCCCTCGAGCGGTCCGGAGGAGCGTCCAATTTTTACGATTTAGGTATCTATCGAAAGCTCTCGACAAGCAGAAACGATTCATGCACTCGGATTTGGGAATTTCTAGAGGTTTTCCTATTAATTGATCCTATTCCTGTCAATAGAAAGATTTCAAGAAGATCTAAAAGTGCTATATCAGCATTAGTGTTTCTGCGCCTGCAATTCTAATAAAATTTTTGCAAATGGATTAACTAATGTCGAAATACCCTAAATTTTAGTTCCAACCTAATAGGCAATTATTTCCGCTTAAAACTAACAATTTCTTGATCTAACTAACCTTCCCAGGCCGTGCCCAAGTGCATATAAACCCTTCCTGGCACGCCGTCACCAAACAATCCCGTCGGAATTCGAGCACCTGAATTCGAGCCCATAAAAAACTCATTTTAAAAATTACCGTAAGCCTTTCATGGGAAATTTTCTTGCACACGAGCGGCTCGATCATCGGCACCTCTTCAAGTCTTGGGCAGCATTTTGTGCCCAACAATCGAGCTTCTTCGATGGCTTGTGCCTTCGCCGGGTTGACATTCGCCTCCCGGTTCCTTAACCATCTTAAATGCAATGAAACGTGCTCTACTTTTGTTAAGAAAAGCGATAGAAGCGAATAGTTAAATTGAAACTCATTCTCACCTATCTCCACCGCTGCCAGTTAATTTTGCAGCGATACTCAGGCCACGTCGGTGTAAGCGATTCTAAAACTATGGAATTAAACTAGATTTTTAAAAAGCATGTCCGGTCTAGAATTGACTCACCTTTTTCTTTTCCTTTGGAGCTGTATTGTTCCCAGAATCGCTCATTTTATCGGATTTTGCGGTCTGAAATGTTGTGGTATTTTTGAATCGTGTGGAAATTAGGTGATAGTACGGGTTCTCTGCAAAAAAAACTAACAAGAGACCAAGCCTATCTTGTGCAGAAATTTGCGCGAGATCAGTATCTATTTACCAAATTTGCGGAATTGCGATTTTCCGAAAGTTATGAACGATTTAAGTCAGACCAAGCATATAAGCTGGCTTTGGGTCGTACCTAACTTTCGAAAATCGGGATTCTGCAAGTTGAGTAATCATATTCGGAATCAGTGTAAAATTCTGCACAAGAAAGGCTTAGTCACAACTTGTTACCCGACGACACTAAAAACTTACAGATGAATCGGTGGTAGTTGGTGCGATAACGGTAGAATTTCGATGTCGTTGTACCGTGTAGTTTGACTTAAATGTAGGTATTACAGACTATTTTGATGCCTTTAGAGGTAGAGGTATGTTTTTAATAAAAAACTTGCATACCTTCAACACCTCATCGGTAATATCCCATAAACAGAGCTGCGTATCATGGCCGACACTGCCGATTCGATAGAATGTTCCGATTTGGGGCATTGGCTGTGGTCCGGAGACACCTCCACCAATCGAAGTACCAAATGAGGCAAAGGACAGTCGAGAAAATGATTGTTGGCCCACGGGGGCTGGCCTTGGCATTGAGGTTGAGAGGGCGGCAGCTTTAAACCAAATATTTCAGAAAAAAAGAGGGTTCTTACCATCATCTTCCAATTCGGCGGGGCTTGTTTGACCAGGGAGGTAGGACTCGTCTTCGATAACGGAAGTGTATGGGTCGAATGCAACCTGAAAATTCGTAAAATTTATGTAAAATTAAGGATTTGTTATCAGTTTTTTTGAAATTCATTTTGTCGGAATATCATTTTGTCGGCGTTTTATTTTGTCCAAATTTCGACGCGCTGAAATTTCACTTGGTAAAAGGTTTGAGTAGAATAATCGAGGCGAAAAAGGCACTTGATACCGACAATATCCTATTTCGAAAAAATAAAATGTCGACAAAATAATATTTGAACAAAACGATTTCCGATAAAATGAAAATAAACCAGAATCAGACCAACCTGGCTGACCCAGCTCTTATGCCCTTGGCCACGACAGATCACTCGCTTCTCGGCAACACTATACACCGTTAACAAATCATCTTCACCACCTAAGGACCAATTATTATATAATTTATGTATATTAGGTCTTACCAGTGGCTATCAATTTGTTATCCGGACTCCAGCTCAGGCATAGCAGACCGCCGAAATACGATTTCATCACACAAATCAATTCCATGTGATGGTAATTGAATACCCGTAAGTAGCCATCCTAAAAAAAAACAGATTTCGATCAAATTTCTCCCTACTTACATGTCCAACAACACCCAGCATCTGACCATCATGGCTAAAGGCAAATTGCGTGATTGAACCCTGTCCGATTTGCCATCTAAATTTGCATAATAAGCCGTTGTAGACATAATCTAAAGAACTCACTTGAAAACCGGATTCTTTGACGATTTTGCCTTGCACGTAAATATGGTAAAACGATCGCCCTGATAATTTATATATTGAAATCATTTTTATGGAAATTTACCTGTTTAAAGACCTGATAGCTGGGCGGAGTCTGGGGGCATTGTAATTCTTCGTTATACAAATACATACAACCGCTCGTGTGGGCGACGAGAAAATGGGTGGGTTGGCCTGGAAAAATATATTTTAAAACTGAATTTAACGACTTGAAAATGTTTATTTTACGATTTTCTATGGTAGCCGCAAAATTCATAGAAATTTCAGAATGCCGAAATTTCCATTTTTTTCATAGGTTTTGGGGTTTTTTCCGGGATGTTTGCTTATGTAAATTTCGTGATTCTGAAATTTCCTCATTTTGGACTCTCGACATTTTAAAATTTTGAAATGGTGAAATTCGATACTATAATTCTTACATTTTTTGAAAGTGAACCAATTAAAAATCCTATTTTACTAGTAAAATAAATAAAATTAATTGCTACCTGGCACCCATTTCAAACAAGTAACTGCCGTTTTATCAATAATCCGCTCCTCGTTATAAAGCCGACTGACAGCATATTCCTTTTGAAAAGGATCAATCAGCTGTATCTGCCCTGCCGAGAAACCGATGATTAAACTGAAAAATGGTTGCATAAAATTTAATTTGTCCTTTCGCCTACTTGCAGCTCGTCGATGTGGCGGTCTCGGCGTTGAATTGATGGGATGTTGGGAATGTGCCCTTGTAAACACGTTTGTCGATGGGTTTCGATAAATCGGAGGCGCATTCGGTGCCTCTGAAATAGTTCGTAATTTTGATATAAGGTTAGCAGACCTGTAATAATAGACGTATAATTCACGGCCAATATTAAAGCAAATTCGATCACAATTAGCGAGGATGTCGTGCTAAAAGGGAAATTTTGATTCGTTGCTTTAGAGATTTTTCTAGTGTGGTTGGGTGTTTTAATTTAGGACCAAGCTTATCTTGTGCAGCATTTTGCGCTGATTCCAAATATAATTACCAAATTTGCGGAATCGTGATTTGCGAAACTTATGAACGATTTTAGTCAGGTGGAAATCATGGAAAGCGGTTCGTTTTGAGGGTATCTCAGTCCTACTTCTTCCATAACTTTTCGAAAACCAAGGTTTCGCAAACTTGGTAAACATATTCGGAACCAGCGCAAAATTTTGCGCAAGATAATTTTGGTCCCGTGCGTAAGTAAGTTTTATATGACCTACCTCAAAATTATCTTGACTTCGACTACCGTCTCCGCCACCATTTTCCAAACCCGTCGGCAATGAGGGCGTACCCGCAGCATTTGAACAATTCTAGAAATATTTCTATTTACAATTATTGTATTTACATACCGGCACGACCAAAAATGACACCCTGACTGGGGCGCCAGCCCCAAGATTCGCTGCAGCTCCGATAGTTCCGGTCGCCTGCGCCTAAAGTCTTGCATCAACGCACTAATACCCGCACTTACGGCTACAGGATTTCCAGGTCCGCGCATCGGCTTTGAATATTCGGCTAGCGTCATGATGCGGTAAACACCTAATTTTATGTACTTTATAAACCGAACATTTCAAATTTTACCTTCGCGGGTTATAAAATGAGTTTTGAGCTCTTCTTTCGGGGGTGAGTATGCACCTGAAAATTGTTTTGATAGTTTCTCATTGGGAAAATCTCATTACTCCTAAATCTTATTGGTATAAATTGCAATAGTCATAAACCCATTATGCTTAAATTTCTTTAGACATAAAATTGTTGCGCATAAAATTGCGTAAGGCTGGAAACGACCCGGCACTCCGCGGATTTTTCGGAAATGGCGTTTTAAACCAGAGTGTCTGCCTCTTACCAGGATACGCTTTTCCTGTCGACGGGTTTCAAATCGGGGCCAAATCTATCTTCTGCAGAATTTTACGCTGATTCCGGGTACGATTATGAAATTTGCGGAATAGCAATTTTTCGAGAGTTAAGGGCGACTTAAGACCCAGAAATGCCCAAAATCAGCCCCTTTTAATGGTTTTCATGAGTAAAATATTTCATAACCTTCGGAAAATTGCAAATTCGCAAAATTGTTGAACATTTTTGGGATCAGCGTAAAATTCTGTACTAGATAGGCTTCGTCCAAATTATAATCCCCGACAACACCAAAATGTCTCCTTGTTGTCAGAAAAATTCAAAACTCATGCCATTTCTTCCAAAACTCACAACTTGGATCCGCGTTAGAAGTCGACGGAAGCGAGGTCGTATGACCTAACAGGGAACCAGTTTGCATCGCCAATAAAAAGGTGCCAATCTGAAGCGCTTCATCGATTAGTGGGCTTTCGAAATAGGGGGCTTACTTAGGGAGCTTCTCCGTCATACCGCATAATCGACGCCCTATTAGAAGGTGGAGACTTCAAGGCGGCGCCGGAATGGGAATGAAGCTGATAAACAGCTTCGGTTTCTCGAGGAGAGATGAACTTTTTACGCCAGTGAAGCTGACTCGACGCAGAGGTTTCAAACCCATGAGTCTCAGGGGCGAAGAATGGGGTACGGTGGTTGGGGCGTGGTATGGAGGGTGGCCCCCGGGGTGAGTTACCGGAAGCCGCAGTTTTTCTAATAAACTATGGCAGTCAATAATATAATATCGCTAAAGCTACTCAAAACGTAAAAAATATTAAAAACGTGACAGGATTTTTTTTGTTTGTAACATTTTTACCACTAAGGAGGAAAGCATAAAATACAGAGTGCCAAAAAAACCCATCTGGACTTTTGCCGCCTTTCATCCGATCGGCCCCCAAAATTAGACAAGAGATGTATCCGACCCTAAATAACAAAAATTCTGGCTTATAGCCCGTTAGCTACGGTAGATTCTGAGTTACAGCAAAAATAAACTTTTTTCCATTTTCCAGAGGGTTCCCGTGAGATGCGACCCCCTAAATGAGAATGATTCGGCCAACCTTCTGTCCCTAACGAGAATTTTTCCGGAATAAAATTGATCAAATAAAACATCGATTTAAGCGCTTTTTGTAAAGCCAAATTCCCCAAGTTTTTAAGCGGTAGTAGGGATTTACAGCCGGAAGTCGATGCAAATCGATGAAAAGTCCAAAAAGATAGGCAAAAAAAATTTCAGAATTGCGGAAGAACAGTATTTTCGTTAAAACCCGAGAAATACTGTAGCTCTGGGACTACAAGTCAGGATTGTTGTTATCTAGCGTCTGATACACCTCTGGTCCATTTTGTGACCTCTCGGATGTAAGGCCGCGAAATTCCGGATGGGCCCGTTTTAGGAGACCCTGTACTTCCCGCAGAAATGTTTGGATTTTCCAACCCACGCATACCCAAAAGCGCCCAACTTTACATGGATACTTTCCACGTATTTTGAAGTGGTTTGGTGTGACAGCAGGGTGTGCTATCAGTATGCGCAGAGTCATCTGCCTTCCCCTCCTCCTCCCGCCGCGCACCTTCAAATTCGGGGCGGTCAATATAGCCGCGACCAGGCACCTTGATAACGGGAGACTCCCCCCAGCCACGGCTTCACCCTCCACAGCCATCCCCCCTCGCGGGTTCTGAGGAACGACATTGGTTTTCTCGACTTTGTTTTTGAGATCGGGGTGTTTCGGGTTCCATGGGATGTTGATGGCGGGGCTGGGTTTGCTTTACCGTCAAGGAAACGTTTTTTAGTATTTCGGGGTGTCCGGTTGGGACCAAGCAGCTCTTGTACAAAGTTTTGCGCTGATTCCGAATATGTTTGCTGAATTTTCATAAGAGCGATTTTCCGGAAGTTATCACGATTGACGGTAGGGGGAAGTCATAGAAAGTGGCTCTTTTTGGGTGTTTCTCGATCTTAGGTCGATCATAACTTTCGGAAAATCCGATACCGCAAATTTTGTAAACATGTTCGGAATCAACTCAAGGTTCTGCACCAGATAAGCTTGATCCAACGGGAAACCTCGACGACCCGACAGAACAGCTTCTTGTGAGTCATAAACTCATTTCTGGCTAGGCTTTATCGAATAAGCTAGGCCAGATTGCAAAAAATCAGTAGTACAGGATTTTTTGTTAATCCCAGGAACGTCGCTGCTATTTCTCAATTTCTTTATCTACGCTGAAAATCAGCTCGCTATTTTAATGTATCATCAAGCAAGGTCGATACCAAACCCCTATCAACCGAGACAATCTGTAAACGCCGAAACAACGCCCGGGATGCGCAGACAGCGCGGACCTTTTGACGGTGGGGGGGGGGGAGGCTTCATGGTCCGGCTGGGCAACGCGATAAGAGCTTCGATGCGCAAACAGCCTCGCGGCACCCTCTCCCTAACTGGGCCTGCGTCACCTTACAGTGTTCTTCGCTTGGTAACTTGCTGTTAGTAGACTAAATATTACATTCCTTGGATCTCCCGTGGGCACTTTCGGGCGCGCGCTTGAAAAACTGGCTAATAACGCTCGTCGGACGGTTTAAGACAATTGGCATCCGTATTTATTAATATTTCCGATCGATCCTGGGTCATCGTATTTTTGAATATCAGCTCGATATCAGCTCTTTTGTAAAATCTGTTAAAAAGCCCCGTCCTGTTATTATTTGTATTTTTGGACATCATTCATGAGATGTTTTTAGTGGGACCGGGTTTTTTTGGTTAGCTTATCTTGTGCAGCATTTTGCGCTAATTCCAAATATTTTTGCCAAGTTTGCGGAGTAGCGATTTTCTGAAAGTTATGAACGACCTAAGATCAAGAAATGTAAAAGCCACTTACGATGGTTTTCATGACTAAATTCATTCATAACTTCCCGAAAATCCCGATTCAAAAAATTTAGGGAACATATCCAGAAGCAGGCAAATTTTGTTTTGAAATTCCGACGACACGAAAAATGTCTCCTTGTTAGGGTGGCAAAAATCGATGATCGATGATGATATGGCTGTCGGTGTTTTTGGTCGATCGCTAAAACAAAAGATGCTAACTAGAGCCAACGAGAAAAATTCGACAGCATTAGCTTCAACAGCTGATACTCCATATTAATATCCACACCAACTGCCACTCCCCTGCCCCAAAAGTGGCCTTTGAATGCATGCTGCAACTGTCTGTCTGTCTGTCTGTCAGTGCCCTTCTGTCGCTCCTTTCTCTCTGATTCGCCCATTTTGGTGTGAAAGGCGCAGTTGTGGTGGTGGTTGGGGCCCTTCTCTTCCCCCAGCATGCGTTGTGCCCCCCCGATATTTCGAGTGAATCAGCTCTTGCTCGGGTGTGCGAATACCGCGCAGCAGCCAGGCCGCCGTCGCCCCGCCCGATGTTTTGGCTGCGCGTCCCCAGCGCTCTGCGCCACCTCCTCGCTTTCGGCCCCAAAAAAAAGATTTCGAGGCCCCTCGATTTTTGTCTTTGAAGTTTTGGGGTGCGTTTTGCGAATGTGTGGATGGTTGTCCTACGTTTATTGGCGTTGAAAAAAAAAAGTTTTGTTGCCTGGAGCTTCTACGGAACTCACTACGTACGCTGCTAGAATGTCTGAGACATGAGCCTCTTCACGACCTACGTTTAAACCTACTGCTCAGTCGAAATCGAAGCCTGACTTGAGCCTATCCTAAAGCTAATTCTAAGCGTGACCTGAGTCTAATCCTAAGCTTGACTTAAGCCTAATTCTGTGTATAAGCTAACTCTAATCCTAAGCCCTAACACGAATAGGACTAGGCCTACGCCAAGCCAATCCTACGCCCGAGCCTAAGCCTAAACCTGAGCCCTAATCCCAGCCTAAGCCAAGCCAAGCCTACGCCAAGCCTAAGCCTAAACCTAGCCAAGCCCAAGCGGAACCTAGGTCTAACATAAGCCTACCAAGGCCCCGCGTAAACTAAGCCCCTGAGGCTACGCCCAAGCCGGACCTAGGCCTCACATAAGCCTACCTACCATTTGCCCATTCTTTCAAGCCGTCTTCCGGTCCAGACCGTACCCCAGCACTTCGTAAAGTGACAGACCCCATCCCTTATCTCCCACTGCCGTTATATCGCGATGGCGGGCGGCGCGCACTGCGCAGAGCGGGGGGTCGCAGCTTTTAGTGCACAGACGATTCATCGATGGCGTCGCGGAGGGGTTGGGGGTTGGGCGAGAGCGCGACGAATAACATAAACTATCCGGTCGAACCCCTCCTCGGCCCACCCCGCCATGGCCTGAAGGGCATCGATTCGGGTGCCGAATGGCACGACCTGGTCTGATCGCGCACCAGGGGGCCCATCGAACATTTTTCGGGGGGTTTTGGGGGATGGTGGTTAAAGGTGTTGGCAAGCGGCTTCAGGCAGTCCGAGCCTGCGATTACATTAAAACTTCTATCATTAACGCAATAAATTTCTTTAATTTGTTATTCGATTCGTTACTGTATAAACATGGTGCCTCAAAAAAGACCCATCTGTCCTTTCGTCGCCTTGCATCCGATCGGTACCAAAATTGGACCAGAGGTGTATCAGACCCTAAATAATTCCAATACCAATTTCAGGGCCGATTGGATGTAAGGTGGGGAAATACAGGTTTAGTTCTACCAGCCTGGTAGTAAGGTCTGTGTTTGCTTTTTGGAGTTTCACATGACCTAGCTTTTGTGTACCAACTTGATCCACGCTTTTTCGTGGTGTTGCTTGTGCACTAATAAAAAGGGTTAAGTCACGAGTTTTCTGCTTGTTTAGATCTTCAATGCGCCTTTAAACTACCACATACCGTAAACTTCATTTTCTGATTTTTGAGGACGATTTGCGTCAGCCAATTTTCAGTAACCCGATTTTTGTCGTCTAATTATCCTTACGTCAATTTCCAAAATACAGTAGAATCGAAAAAATGTCCATACACCCCTTCTACCGTAACCCTCCAGTGATCAATCACTCGCGCAACTCGGGGTCCGCCCCATCCATATGTCAGCCTCCCCCGGCATCCGATCGAATGTGCGCGGGAGACCGTTCGCTCCCGGTGCCGCTTATGGAAATCGAGGGGGGCGAGCCGAGCCGCGCTCCCGCATTCATGATTCCATGAATTTATACACGACGTTTGGCTGGCCGCTGCGCCCCCTTCCCCCCCCCCCCCCAACCCGATCCGCCATTGCGCGCACCCAATTTCACCCACTATATTGTCATTTAAAGCGGTTTTCGGAATTTCAGTTTCCGAATTTTATTTAGCGAAACTTTATTTAGTCACTGTATCATATTTATTTTATTTTATGATTTTAAATTAGTTGACTGCACTGTGCGGGTTTTTATGAGTGCTAATTACGAATCAAATCACGCCGGGTACTGCACTGTTAGCGGGGTGGTTTAATTCGGCAAAGCC